GCCCATTATCTTGCCGGGCGGCAGTTCCCAGGGCAACAGCAAAGCTGGCTGCTTGGGGGCAGTATTGCATTGTATTGCCGGAGGTCAGCAGCTGGAAGAGGGCATGCAAGCTCTGCAAAAGGACTACCGTGCATTCTAGTTGATACGGAATGGGCACTTGGCCCGGAATACCCAGCACTGTGGGTTTGTGCTCTGCAGCCAAGCTGGCCATTTGCAAAAGGTGGTCAGCAGTGACTGTGTCTCCTGCTTCCGCAATGGCCACCACTCGGAGCTTAGTTGCTCTAGGTTCTAGCGCGCATAGGCTAGGTGGGAAAGCCCATGGCGCTGGGCACGCTAGTCCGGTTTCGGTTGGCGTGGGCAGCGGCGCGAAATCTTCCGGGAACGGTACTAAGGCAACATCCCAGTGCCGAGGGCTGCTCAGCCGACGAAGTTTCTCACTTGGCGATTCGTCCCCTTTTCGTTTTCGAGATGGAGACACAAAGGCCAGCAAAAGCGCCAAGACTGAGTAGCACGCGCCGTGCTCCTCCAGAACGATTCGATAGGCCTTCCCAGCCTGCGAGCCCATATGCACTGTACTTGAGGGACTGCTGGCTAGTTGTTCGAAATTACAACTTTGGAAGTGCGCCGGGCAAAAGATAGCCGTTTGCGACCCCGAAGGAAAAGCTATGCGATATTCATGCATGCCCTGCAATCCGGTGGCTGTGGGTGTGACATCCACGACTAGGCCAAACTTTCGCACAGTGGGACTACTCCACAGTTCTTGTCTTGTGGTGGCTTCATCGACAAAGGTGAGCTGCGGAAGAAAGAGGGCTAGAATGACAAAGACTTCTCGGAACGGGATCGGCGCCAGTAGGTCTCGAGCCATCTCCGTCAGCCATTGAGCACATGCACTTTGAGTACCTTTGCCAACACGAAAGTTTTTGAGCAGCAACGCCTGTGCTTCTTCCATGGAGGCGATTGGCTGTCCTGCCACACAGCTTTGTAGTAGCACCAGCAATTCCTGGTCAGGACGGTGGAGATTGGACACCAACAAGCTGATAGCTCCTTCCCAATCATCACTTGTCATGGCCGTTTCAAATCGAATCCAGGAGGCTAGGCGCATCGGAGCGGCAATTCGATCGCGGCGAGGAATGACATCCGGGTGCGTGAGCTTCAGTGTGATGAGACTAACTTTGCCCGTAGGGAGTTGGCACTGGAGCCAGTGCCAATAACAGTGCTTGCGCTTACCCATCCATCTTGCAGAGTCTGTTACATACGTGATGTGCAAGGATCGTTGCAACATGTCGAGCTCGTTCTCTGTCGGCTTCCAGTCACACAGACAATCCTCAGCAGCATGGACAAGATAGTAGTTGTGCCTTTCAGGTTCTGCAGTGGCTACGAGTGCTGCTAAGACACTCTTCGGCATCGCAATGGCGCCTAGGCGCGCTGTGATCTGACTGGCTGGCCAGAGGCAACGAATTGCTAAGGCAATCACTGCTCCAGTGTAGCTGCCTGCACTAAAACCATTTACTGTAAAATGGGGGGGATCTGCTTGTTCAGCCGGCCGCAGACACACAAGCACTGGCAAGTAGGCAAGAAGTCGCAGTGGCTGGAGCGAAAGAAGCTTCCACCAAAGACCACTGAGAAAGGCTTGGTGCGGCAGCCGTCGATGAGCAGGAAGCAGCCTGGCTGCTTGCAGCACATGCTGTGTTCGTTGGTACAGAAGGGCTGCCTTACCATACCCTAGAGCTTCCCATTTCTGGCACGGATTCTGTGTGAGCGCAAAGAGGGTGGCGACTTCATGCACTCCGGTCGACCAGCCATAGGCAACCCCCCATTCCTGTTCATCAAGGACATCTGCGGGGGAGAGTGACGGCCCATAGACTTGACTTTCTCCTACCGGCGGACACGTGCAATGGAAGTGCGGGGGGACCTCCCCTTCAAGGGCTCCGCCCCCCAGGCCACCACAGTTGATTTGAAATACTGACGGCAGTGGTGGGGATGTGCCGCCAACCCAGTACCCATTGAGTTGGGCAATCATCCATAGGACAGTGACCCAGAGTATTTCACCCTGCTGACGTTGGTAGATAGCTTCAAACACCTGTGGTGCAATACCTTCCAGGGGCATAACCGTGCCTTGGAGCTGGCAGAGCAAGTCGCTATTGACTTGAAGGAATTGCTCTTTTTCTCCGGGGACAAGACACTGGGGGTGAGCTAATGCAACCTGCAATTCCTCATGTGGACATGCTTCAATGTCTTTGTGGACTGCAACTACCCCTCGTAGTTTGGCGACTTGACTCCACGGCACAAAGAGGGGAGGAGACAGCTGTTGCGGACAGGGAGTGCATGGACGAGGGTCAGGTGCCTGACTCCCCTGCGTCGAGTCGCTTTCGATTGCTTGAGCAAGTCGATCCGCTCTCTTGGCAGAAGTATCAGACAAGGGCGTGGACGCTGACTCCACGTCTGCATCACCGACCTCTGCCGGAAGACAGCTAAGGCTGTCCCCCTGCAGTTGTGCTGGAAAGAGTTCTGTCGCTTGCGGACGAATCGCCCGCCACTTTAAGGGCAGGCAGAAGCGCAAGGCACTGTTCCCTGCTACCCCAGAGAAATAGCCTGTGAATTTGCACCCTCCTATTGGTTTCCAAGTCTCCACAACCCATGCGGGGGGGAGGTTGGGCATGCCTAATATCGCAATCGGTAGCGTTTCCCACCCTTGTTGCTCCAGCTCTCGTAAAGCAGCTTGCGCTCCAACTTTGGCCTTGCCAAAGGCATGAAATATGGCAGGACGCATGCGGTTGCGCGGCAGTGCACTGGCTTGAAAGAGATGTTCACCTGGCAACGACGTGACTGTGCATGGCCCAGTAAGCATTGGAAGCACTGAAAGTATTCCCTGTTCAAAGGTGGCGCGAGCCCAGCTAGTGACCCACGGAGTTCGCTCTCTTCCTGCAGGGGTGAGGGCCCTGGGATGGGATTGCCGTGGCCACTTGATTGTGCTGCTTGGACCAAGTTCATTCGGGGTGATAACAGGGCTAGGCCAAAAGTGCTTACACATGTAAAGCCCGTATAAGGACCAGACCATACAGAGGTCAAGGGCGGTTTGCATTGCGACACCAACAAAAGGGGTAAACATAGTGCCACTGATGACTGTATCGCTTGGATTGACTGGTGGTCTGGCTCTAGATACCAAAGCAAGGCGGCCCGCCTGGAGGCTCTTCGCCAGGGTCGAAGCAGTCGCATCATGTTCCAGCGGCATGTGCTTGCTGCGATTGCCGATCGAAATGACCAGTCCTGCATTATATTCCAGGTGAGCCTCTGTGAAGAGGAGCATGCCAATTCCTGCACAGGAGCTAGACTCTGAACGTGCACGCCCTAGCAGGTCGACCCACTGGTGCTGCTGGTGTGCCAGCTGCAGTAGATCTTGCACTTCAAAAAGCGTGACTGGCACACAGTCATTGTCAATGAGTGCAAAGTGTTGCGCAGGATACAAGAAACGCGCTGCCTCTAACACAAAGACTCCTGCCCAGTAGTATGGAACCTTGTGGAGTCCAGTAGTAGCATCCGCACACACCCAAAGTATGTCAGTTGTTTCTTCCTGGGGACCTACTAGACACCTACGTGAGGCCCACCATGCTGCAAAAGCCGGCCAATGCGGGACATCTGCCGGCATGCGATTGTCCACTATTAAGTAGATCATTTGATTGTTCATGATCAAGTCACGGTGTGACATTAGTGTTCGAATGATGGCAGTAGTATCGGGCAGATCACCCTCTGTTTCAAAAGTGGGATACCCATCGTCCTTTTTGGGTGGCTGAGCTCGAACATCAGACAAACCAAGAGTAGGGCAGGCGGAATCAAGGCCGAAAGGACTGCTGAGAGTGTCTTTCATAGCCATCGCTGCATGTGCTCCCTCCTGGGACTGCTCCACACTAGCCTCCGTACCCCTGGCAAAGCTGGCCTGGCCATTTGCTGTCAGCCACTCCGCATGATCACGTGTGTATACAAAAGGCACGTGGACTCTGTCCTCCAACCCATCCGTTAGGTCCAGTGAATTACTGTCCTCCATCCACGGGTCATGTGACATTATTGTTGCTCTGCTCTACGATACGTGTGCAGCCCCCGCCAGCTAAGGCTGGCAGTTGCCCTGAGCGCCACAAGCAAACGAAAGGCAACAATGGTGATGTCAGCTAAGGCTGACCTCACACATGTGTGCTGGGCGCTACGACCTGCTGCGAGCCAAACATTACAGCAAAGTGCATCTGCAGAGGATCAACTGCATCTAGCTTTTCGTGGGGGGCATCTGTCCAAACTGTACCATAAGAACCAAGCAAACAAAAATAAAAATGGGGGGACATCATGTTGCAACAGAGGCGTGTCTCTACGACCTTGTAACTACTGATCATGATCATCTGCGTGCGGATGCAGAAGGGAGAGCAACCAGGCTACGTACACCAAGCCACAAAGTTGGGAGTGTAGGTCAGCCAGGGGAGTGAGGAGAGCACCCTGTACATCTTGAGGCATATAGTCTACAGTTTGTTCGATTTCCTGTACCAAAGCATGTAGACCTTGCACTCTTGCATGTAGGGCTGATTCGATCTGGTGGTGCGCGCGTTCTGTATGCCGCTGTGGGGCCGCTTGTTCAGTAGGCTGCGTGTCTACTCGAAGGGCTTGCTGTCGTTGCCTGTCATCATGAGACCAAAAGCCCACTCGCCGAGGGAGGGAGCCTGACAAGGGGCGTGTCTGTAGGAAAATATCAAGAGGGTCTGCGTTCTCTGTAAAGATCCTGGCGTTCACTGCTTCAGCCAACACAGTGAGGAGGTGGCTTTCATGGTGCTGTATGTGCAAAATCATCCTGCGGAGCCGAGTTCGCTTTGTGCCATACGTTGTGGCTCCCCTGGTGTTGATTGCAATACAGCCCTGATGATAGAGCGGGATGATGGCCCCTTCAACAGTTGCCCGGAGCTTTAACAGAGCTGGCGGAAATTCAAACCCTTCTGTCCATTCTGGGAAGGGG